CAATCAATCAATCAATCTGTATAATCCATCAGTCATAACAGATATTCCAGTCTAATCCACTCCACTCCACTACACTTCACTCCATTACACTCTATTACCAACATCCGACTCCGTCATCCATCATCTAATTCCCAAAGCCCAATGTGAATAACCACCCCAATCCCCAATCCCCAATCCCCACTCCCCAAATCAAATGTTAATCCAATCGCTCTCGCTCCTCGCCTTAACCAAACGGTGACACACACTCCTTATCATAAATACCATTCATTTTCCTACCTAACCTCCACATATCCTAGCTTTATTTTCCGTCAAATGATTACCAACGCATATTCATATACATATCATATATGCTACAGTAGTACCCATAACACCATCCGCATTCCCTACCCGAATGATGCTACCACGACAGCTTCTATAAAAAGCACACCACATACATAACTAACAGTAGCGGCCTGTATATAAAACCAAATAGAGTATTGAGTCTTGAATTGAATACCAACCATATACATAGTAGTGGATTGTCAAAAATGTAAATACTGTAATATATAACCAACAACTATTCAAGGAATGGCAACACTAATACCATCTCGCTTGGTCACCTAGTATACATATGAAATCTACAATTTGAGTGTGGATATCAACACGAAAAAGTATCTATATCATCAGAAAACAGATTATACAGAAACACAAAGGAAATTGACAAAAGAATATCCTGCTAAAATCCAGCTTCTAGACGCAAAAAAAACGCACCTCATCACAAACAATCCTTCACCCCCTCTTATAAAATCATCTTCTTCTCCTTCCATCATCAATAACCATCCTCTTGCTTTCCTCAAACCTCCCCGAATTTCTCACCCCATTCTCACCAGTAATGCTCCACCTCCCCCTCCCCCTTGCCTCCAAATTCCATTCCCGAAGCTCATCTCCCTCTATTCGGTCTCCGATTCCTATCATCCCATCCCGTACCCTCTACAGTACGATAACCACTCTGCACAGGCTCCTGTGTTTCACTCCCTCTACTTCCCCTACCTCCTCTCTCACCATACGAATTCGGACTTGGAGGATGATGCGGCGACGGCGCACCTCGCTCAACAATGCGATCCCGCTGTATATAAGTATCGTCTCTCTCCGCACCCCTCTCCCTTTCCCTCTCCCTATTATCCCTATTCGTAACACTCCCCCTCTTGCTTTTCCTCCTTGACACATGGCTCACGCTCACACTTGCGCTTGCGTTTGGACTCGATCTCCCACGAGAATGCGAATGCGAACGCGAACGCGGCGGCCAATGTTCCTCCTCTACTTCTATCAATTCAATCCTGCTTTCATCTGGAAGTGTCGGCACTCGAGGGAGTGATAAATCGCGATATGAAGGCATTGGGCTCGCGGGCATGATAGAGGGTGAGGGGGGTGGTATATATGGATGTGGCGGAGAAGGCGCCGCCGACATAGGAGGCGGGGGATATCCCATCGTAGCTGAAGGATGTGATGAAGTAACAATTGTAGGTATGGGAACAAGAATGGCTGGTTCTGGAGTCGGGGGAGCAGGAAAATGGTGGATTTCCGTCACCGAGGTAGAATGTCGATGACTTGGTGGAGCACGGTGGATTTCTGACATGGAGCTTGAATGCCGGTGGATTTCGGACATGGAGGTAGAGGGTCGGTGGTGACCATGTTGTCTTATGACCGTTTCCGAGATGCGGGAGACGGGGCGGGAATGGGAAGGACGTCTTTCGCGGACGATTTGGTGGGATATGCGGCGGGGGGCGCGGCGATCGACGAAGACTATGTCTTCGTCTTTTGGGACTGTGGAGGAGGGGTATGTTAGGAGGGAGTGGTTTGGAAAATTGGGTTGAAGGTAGTGGAAGGAACGACATGTATTAAACTGGGTAAGGATGGAGAGGAATACTTACTACCGAATAAACACATTCTTTCTCCTTCCTTTCTACCCTGTTTGTGTCTGAGGTATATAAATATCAAACGAAACCGTAAATTAATCTTCTCTCCGTTTACTGAGTATATAGCAATGTATCAATCAATCAATCTAACATTCAACGAACACAACCGTCTTCATATACCTGTACCCTTTCAAAAATACCTTTCTTCCCCTTCACCGACCGAGTACCTACCTACCCTCTATATATATCCTCAACTCCACCCATGTACCTCCAACTTCAACTCCAGTCTCCACACCTATCTTGTACCTACCTTGTACCTTCAGTATCCACTCTACACCTACCATTCTCTTTCTTCACCACACAGAGTACAATCCTTCCAAGTACCATCAAGTACCAAGGCGGAATTGATACCCATCATGACGATATGCACATACCAGTACACCTACCGGTACATACCTATATCAATAAATCCCAATCATACCCACCGCACCATTAAGCAACACCAGGATCCGGATGTACCAATCCGAAGGCCAGAGGGGGGCAGAAACTACCGGTAACGGTTATCTTACCTTGATACGAAAACAATCGGTAAACAAGCCAAAGAAAAAGGAAAATACAAAACCCAGCCTCGATCACATGCAGATCTATTCCGTATTCCGTATTCGGTATACCATAGATCCCCGCTCCAACAGCCTTACCCCCTACCCAACTAAATGATCAAAAAACCTTCACTCCCATCCCAAACCAGGTATTTTCGTATTTTCCAAGGAAGTCATCTTATCCTGGTCTCGAAAATCCTATCGGTAATCCCATGCACCATTTCCCACCCTTTGATTCGCCCACTACCACTCGCTTAATATGCAACATGACATTTCAGACTCGCTTCCATTCCGAATTATCCGTCCCAGGTCAACCCCTGTCACACCAGCCTCGCTGGCATTTTTCCGACCCTGTATATTCGCCTTGCGAGGCGTACGAGGACTCTAGGCTTCTTCTCTTTTCGCTAATCCCCACTCATGTATCGGTAGTTTGTAGTTTGTATGAATCTTATCGTCATGTGACATAACACCCAATCCACACAATTTCGATAACATTATTGCTCCCCCAGACTACTCCAGTATCGTTTTCGTAGATAACGATCTCTCCTATACTTGATCGCTAAAGTATTACTAATCATACTGTATATATAGTACATCATCCGATCATGGCGGAACTTACTCCCTACCAATTCAGTTCAGTCCGATATGAACCACAACTTGTATCCACATCTACATCTGCATCTACATCCGCACAAATCATTTATTCCAGTTCCAGTTCTAGTTAATTTTGAATAAAACAAGACGATGTTATACGATACGATACATCTATCTAGTCGATAAAAGATCCAATCTACGCCTACAGTAACTCAATTCAATTTATTCCAATACCAATCTTCCAACATCGAGTTATACACGCCCTACCCTACCCATCCTCTTTTGAACACTTAAAACAACAAACCATTATCCCGCATATGAATTAACACGTACCCACCAACACCCCTCATCCCATTCCCAATCCCATTCCATCAACGAATTTCAATTTCAATCCTCGTAACGCCCCTCGCCTCCACCACCCTCGCCATATCACCACCACTCGAAGCAGCCCTCTCCCACCACCTTCTATACCCCGTCGCCGATCGTGGCCAACGCGATAACAAATACTGATACTGTTGATCCTGAACCGGTTCTCTCGCCTCATATTCCATCTCTGGCTGTGACCACTCGGCTGGCATGTCAACACCCGGCCCATATACGTCTTCCATAATAACATCGCCTTCCGAATCATAGTTCAGACTTTGGTAGCTCCAGCCCGAGCCTCTTTGTGCAGTGATAATCATTGATGCATCGGGGGAAATGGTCCCATCAAAGGATTGTTGTTCTAGTTGTGAGCGATGTTGAAGAATATCCGATATGAGAAAAGTGCCACTCATTTCAACATCGCCCTCATAATCATGTTCTCGTATTGTGCCATCTCTTAACACACTTAACTTCGTAATATCACTATGCTGTCCATCGTCCAAACGCCAGATCTGGGCAACTCCGTCCATGCTAAATGCCCAAATGGTGACACCTTGACTCGAATCGATTGCAAGATCGACGATGCCAGAGCACGTTCCAATCTTTTGGCCCTTGATCCTAACTGGCCACATGTTTCCCGGAAGGATTCCAGGCACTGGATGTCGAATAAGATTAAGCCATCCTTGGAGTCCATGGTCAGGCCACCAGTCCAGCCACTGCATGTTTTTGGAATTCTTGGAAGCACCTCGTCTATGCATAACCGAGCTTTCCAGCAGATTTTGTGAGCTTTGAGCCGCATTGAACACATCCCCAGGAACTGAAAACATCCAGATACTCTGTTCCGCGCCACTTCCAAATGCTGCCACAACTCTCACTCCCCAGCTCAAGTCGGAACCTCCAGCATAAACTGTTGGACTGCCTCTACCTTCTGGTCCCTCGAACCAAACTTTGCGAAGTAACTTGGTAGGTCCTCCAACAGGTGCGTCACTACCCATGCAGAGAGCTCCCGTACGTGGATCAGTAAACAAGATGTGATACCCATCACTAAGTGGCACGGCTCGATAGTGATCAGAATGATCCACCCTTCTGCCGGAATCACTTCGAAATCTTCCTACCGGTGCCAGAATCTGCTGGGCACGTTCCATTTCTTCGCTATTGTCTCCTTGGCTTCCACTCCATCCGATTCTTTGCCAAAATGAAGCACCTCGTGATCTTCTTCCATATGCTCTCTCATGTACAGCTGCACATTCACTGGGTCTAGCCGCGCCTACAAAATAGTCAGTAAATGAATCAGAGGAGCGCCTGGCAGTTTGACCGCAGGTTCAACTGTTGTTTTATGATCATAACTTCCATGTTGTAATTTTGAGAAATGGGAACAATACTTACTACTAATGAGCCTCAACTTTTTCGCAGAGTCCACGCTTTTCCGCGGTGGTAAGAAGAATAAGAAATCGCTAGGAGCAGTGAGTGGAAACCACCTATTCAGATCTTGCCCGGTCAAAGCATCAACCCAATGCAATTCAATACCAGCCGAGCAGCCAAAAGCCACACATCGTCGTTGCGGACAAATTGCCACTGAGCGAGGAGGGTCGTCCTCAGAACAGAGGTTTCGATATATTGAGCGCGGGCCCGACTCAACAGGCATGTCTCTCGCATCTGGATTTGAACCTCTACGAGCTGGTAGCTTGCTCCGCAATCGACCTCCTGTTCCTACGTGGTGCGGGCCAGTTTCTTCGGGAGGATATGAGCTTTTTATGGCACTAGCTGATCTGAGCGCGTCATGATACTCTGGACATCGCCCGGACCCCGGAGAACTACCACTACTGCGAGTTGTAGCTATCCCAGGGAAAACGAAAGCGGTTGTGGATCTTCCAGCTCTTTGTACAGGAGCTGAACTATCCAAGCTTACGCGGTCGAGAAACGAGACACCATGGTTCAAGTCACTTCCTGGGGGAAGTGAGAGATCCAAACGACTTGAATGGTGCGAGGACAGATCCGAAGTTTCAGGTTCCGAAGAACTAGGAGGGGCAATGTTGCTAAGAGCGATATCGCAAACAAGACCCATGCGACCATCGAGTAGAACAGCAATTGCATACCTATGTGAAGATGTATCCATACTGCAAGCCAATACTCTGTGTGGACATATGATACTAGTGACTGGACGCAAAGAACCAGGTTGCACTTCATGCCAATCATTCACATCACGATGACTTTTGTTTAGTTCATAAACATAGATTAAACAGCCATTTGCAGCCATCAAGAACTTCCCACAGCTACTCACCGTAAAAACAGTTCCAGCAGGAGTCGTATCCTGATATTGAACAGCGACTTCTGTGAAGTCTACAGTTGCAGCTTGTATAAATGCCGATTGTTTTGATTCCGGTGGAAAGTTATCTGAGCTTACTGGTACTCCGTAACCCCTCCAATTTGGCCCAAGAGCACATTCTCTCGAGATCCGTTTACTCATGAACCACTCATATTCGGATTCATGTCGAAACTTCGTACACTTTGTATCGGAAATTTCCTGTTGACAGCTAGCGTCCCAACCGCCACGACGGATCATGTTTTCGAGGAGGGAGCGATCTATGCTAGTGAGAAGCCATGTTCGACATGTATGTCTGGCAGAATTAAAATCTGCCGGTGTCAGGTATTCATATACTTGTTGAAGGATCTCGGTAGGTAATTTTGAGAAGGTGAATGATGTTGACTGACGGGCAGATTCTTCCAATCGATCAATACTAGGTAGGAGATGAGAAGATGATCCGGTTGGTAAGGTAGGGTCTGGGGAAACAGGAGGGGAATCGTTATAAACTGTTGTAACGGTTCGAGTGAGTGATTCAACAGGTGATATAGTGGAGCCCATAGAACTTCCTCCAAGGGTCCTAGATCGAAGTCGCCCCTTGAGTTCCTGGATATCAAGCGAACCGTTCAAACTGGCTGGAGATGCATGCCCGCTGAGTACTTCTGAAAAACTGTCTTGTTGATGTATATTTCTTAACGGCTCTAACAATTCGTCATCGAAGATTGCACAAGGATCGTTAGGGTTATCATGAAGAGTATGGCTTCGATCGCGTGTCCGTATGGGTCGACCATCCACCTCAATGGTTGTTTTGTTTCTTTTAGGCCGCGATTCGGCCTTTTCGAGAGGATTTGGGTATCTTGGACCCCGCTCTAACGTTCTTCCACGTTCAACTTCTTTTCCTTTATCGCGTTTCCCTTGTTTATCTGGGACAGAATCGAGTCGTGGAAGTTCCCAGGGATTGAACGGAAATGGGGGATCGACACCTGTATCATTGATTGAAGCGCCCTACAGACTCCTAAGTTAGTACTCAAGCCTCAGAATCTTGTCTGGAAGAGTGCAAATTATAAGCAACGGTGATAGCCGAGTATACTTGTATGGGAAGAATAATCTTACCAAGTCTGATGCTGCAAACATAGGATGACGCGCGGAAACATCAGTCATGTCTGAAATTGACTGGCGTCGTCTGCTCGCGTCGTCTAGAAAGATCTGAACATCAGTCTATGCCTCCCCATCGTAAATTATACACAGCCAGGTCAAGAACTACAAACAGTTGAACTCCCCCCTCTGCTCACCATCCAATCCTACATCTTTCGATGCCCTGGCTGCGTCTCCAATCGTCATGATATGTCTTGTCGGACACTCGTAGACAGATGTAACAGCGATTGAAGTGTATGCCCTTCTAGTAACTGGTGGGCGAGAAGTTGAGCTATGATCTGCGATTGCTCTTGATAAGAGAATCTGGGAAGACGTCGTGTCGACAGCCCCCGGGTGGGCGGCTTCGGTATTGATGATGGTTGATTGGTAGGAGATAATTGTAATTACTGGCTGGATTTCTTACTGTTGTGCTGCTTAGGATCCTCACTAATGAACGTGGAAGAGATAAAAATGAGATTTTAGGTATAGAGGTTGTTGTGGCATCGCTCTAGAGAGACGATGGAATTGAAAGGTAAGGATAATTTATGAACATGCATGATGTGTGTTTGAAGGATTGAGAGATAGATAAGATTCAGAAGAAGCAGAAGAAGCAAAAGAAATTTGCTGGGGAAAGAGCATCGGGTATATATTTTTAAAACAATGCAAAACCATACAAGGAAGGCTCGACCTTCCCCTTAATAACCATACTAAAAACGCCATTAATGCCATAAAGTCGAGGTTCATCGTGGATAAAATAATGTCTCACGCTAACAGGGTTGGCGCTTCATTGCAAATACATCATACATTTGCATCGCCGACCTCTCTCCATATATGTGTATCTCCAAGGCTTATAGAGCTCGCAGCAGATTCCTCACGATTTAAATGTGGGGTGCTGCCATTAGGCTCAGACTCTGGGACCTTGTTGATCCAGATATTTTCCAATCTATGCATCGTCAGTATATGTCAGTAATCTTTATTGAAGTAACGTACGGTACAATGAGACTTGGATTGATATATCTCATGCCTTTCTCCCTAGCCTCGTCGACTGTACTGCCTCTACGAATATTTCCTGGGGGTGTTCCAACGCCGATATCCTCACCAGCGAGATTTATATCTGGATTGCTATCTCTTCTAATGCTTCTCAGGGCGATAAACTTCATAAGTGGCTGGAAAGTCCTTCGAAAATAATAACTGTACCAGATTGTGAATGGTATTAACGGTACAACGAGTATAGCTGGTGTAAAAGCTTTCCTTAGAGCGATAACTCCAGCCATAGTTAGTTGAAAGAAACCTAAGCCGACAAGAAGACGATAGACAATCATAGGCCAAGCACCTCCAGTGGCGTGCTGTGGGTGGTCCATAGCATACAAAAGTTGGTACTTGTAGGTGTAATAGCCTAAAGCGAAGTATGCTAGTCCAAATAACAGGACAAGATAGCCTGCTGGCTGTATGCTATAGACAATACATAGGATGTAGACGAGAAGTGCAGATGGCAGATAAAACCCGTAACTGAAAATTGGAGGTTGTACAAGCTCCGCATAATCTCTAGGAGTCTTAGCACCCATAAGTGTGATAGGGTACAGGGAAACACTTCCAAACTCCAACAGCCTGAAAGGTAGTAGGCCAAGAGCCTGGAGTAGGATGAAATTGGTATAGAACATGGAGAGATCGGAAATTGATTGGGCTAGCGTATATGCAATCTTTGTGGTATCTTTCAATGTCTCCTGTAAGACTGGCCAGAATTTGCTCGCAGCACCAAAGACTGTAAAAACCAGGAACACGTTGAAGAAGGTGAAGTAGAAGTTTTTTGATATGACGGAAAGCTCAACCTCGCCTTGAGAGATCGACCCTTGCCTATTTGCAAGATAATCGTACAAGAATGGAATTGCCAAATTGAGTAGCGAGACAATAAGTGTAGGTAAGCCAGTTTGAACCAAAGCCTTGAGGATGTCGTGGCTTTCCAATACATCCGCAAGCCCCGGCCAAACTTGTCGAATTGAGCACAGACTAACGAGACCAGCCAGAGCAGCCACTGGAATAAGCCAAAATATCGTGAGTATGAGTATAAAAATAGTAATTGCCCAAGAACGAATCATACGATTCGATCGAGACAGATAAGTATTTGTCCAAACGATGTCCGAGGGTGCGGGGGATGGTCTTGCCATCAGCTGCATCGGTGTTGGATCCAGTAGAGCTTGCACGGCCATTTGACAAGCGGGTATTGAGTCCATAGTAACAAATGCAAGGGCCGTAGGCTTGTATTCCTTCTTCCTTGCGTCTTTGATCATATCGTCTAGACTTCTCAATTGTTCTTCGTAGTGATCAATTGCGTCTACTCTCCTGCTTTGGAAATTAAAAAGCCCATACCAGATCCGTGTAGTCGGTCTTGGCTGATCATATGCGGTAATGTGATTGCTTCCTAAAAGATTATCACCCTCATGACCTTGTGACCCATCCTCTACTTCTGCGGTCGGTGTTGATTGTTGAGTCCGTATTGGTCCTATAGTTGGACGTTGTTGCTGGCCAAGGTGTACAGTCCATGCCTCTTCAAGCCGCCTAACAACTTGCACTCTCTTGTCCATCATATCATCGAGTTTTCTCCAATTTCGACATAAAGTCACACTTTCCACCTTCCCTATTTCGAGCTTCTCCAAGAATTCGGTGATCTTTTGTTCGGACCTCAATTCCTCAGGTATCCCAGAGAGTTTAATTGTTCGGTCGGTAATCGTGGATTGACTTCCAAGGTAGTCTTGGCGAACTTGGATTACGCGGTGAGTTTGGCTGTTCATAAAATATATTGCGAGTCCAGTGAAAACATAGGTAAACACTAGGTATGACCAGAGATAACTGGTGTCAGGGAGTTTCTCGTCTAGGTCTTTTGGCACCTCGAAAATTAAGGCTCCGTTCCATCCTCCATGCCAACCCTCTAATCGCGAGTAATCTGGAATATTAGGAGGGCTCGTCGAATTTCCGAACGGATCGAACATATAATAATAGTGTTGATTGATCGGGGCAAGAATAGCAGCTGCTATGATGAACATGATTCCGAATAGTTTCATCGACATCTTGAAAAATGAAAGGAACTAATTGAAGTCAGTGATGTCCATTAGTCCAAGAATAAGTCTGCAAGACATACGACATATGCATCCAATCCAGCAGATGCAAGGACCTGTTCTTCTGTGACCCTATACAAGACAGGCATCCAACCAAAAAGCGTGTCTGGCAGCTCTGGGAGATGTGCGGCAGCATCAACATGTCTTTTTCGTGCTGCATATAAACTCTTCCATTTTGGTCGCAGGATCTGCGACTATCAGTAAAGCTCTGAACCTACTCTTGTGTCGTCGACTTACACAGAATCCAAAGAAAGCAGAAACTCCGAGAGTTAGTGAAAGGACGAGTTGAACGTATATCGCAGTTTGTTGTCCTTCAACATGTGTAGGGTCATATGCTGTACAATTCTTCTCAGAAGATCTGATGGCATCCATATTGGAAGCCATATTGAGGTTTGGCAGACTGTGAATTACTCGTATAGAAAGAATAACATCACTGACCAGGTGAACAGTTACCAATGATCCATCTTTTCATCAGGGCGGTGATGAATCGATAATGCTATGACGAACTTGGAATCACATCACAAGCTTATTAAGGTTATGTAAGCCAGGGCCAGGAACGGGTTTAGTTCAGCCACGTGCGCCACACGGATGCAATTAGGTTACAGCACTGCCACATCGCCACACCGCCTGGTCCTAGTCCTGGATATACTTACTACATAGGTACGTACTTCACTCTGAGGACGGCTTCGAAGTTGCAACATAACATTGTCAACAACACTCATCCATCCATAGGTAGGTAAGGTTATTTTACAACTCTACCATTTTTACTCTCTCCCTTCCAGAGCGAAGCGAAAAAGCCTCCGCGGCAGTGGCCCATCGGAGCGTCATATCCATTTGTTTTCCAAAGTGTTACCGTGACATTTCCATTTGCGAAATTGAAAAAGACATCGAACCTGTTACTACCTAGTAAGATCACTTTGATTATTGATACAGCGTTACCATATTGGAAGGTTGTGGATGAGGTTTCATTACCTGGTATCTCAAAATATAATAAAGCATACTAAACATTTAGATCAGACGTGATCAAGAATCAAGACAAGCTTTCAGATGCTGCGTTGTGATTTCAACGCATCTGATTGATGGTATCCCATCTTTTCAAAAAGCCCATATTTGTGGATTTTGAATGTTCAAATTTCACATAAACATTAAAGATTCTTCTGCTCTTGAAGTTCTCGAGGATATATATTTAGTTAGTCCTTACAATGAATGCTCTTAAGACAAATGTTCGAAATAAATATTTCGGTGGTATAACAGAATGACATACCGGTATTATTCCAGTCTGTCACTAAATCGGTCAAATTAAGCTTACATAAGTCCAAGTTCCATCAGCTCCTTCCTTCTCTTCTCTTTCTTTACTTCTTCCCTTCTTCTCTTCTTCCCTTCCTCTACTAGTATCATTCTCTTCATCTAGTGTCTTTTTCTTTCATTTTCACTTTCACTCTCATCCCAACTACAAACCAATTAAATTCATACTTCGAGTGATCTACATACTTTACATCGGCCTTTACTCATCATCATCACATATGCATATCCTCTGTATTCTAAACCTCACGTCGCACTCCACGTTCATTTTGATACAGTAGTGTTGTATTGTAACTCTGACAAAACTTCTAACGATAAAACTGTCACATTGAGTCACAAGAATGGAGAATGAGAATAATGATTCTAATCAGTTGATCTCTGATATACCGACTGTTATTTTTGAGGCTAGGCTGCGAACTTTTATTGAGGATGATTTGAAGTGTACAGACTTGAAACATGTATGAGGAGAAGGTTCTGAATGTATATGCCACTTCAACCTAACTGACGGCCAATTCACTAGATCCACAATCAACTCTCCGAACTTATACAAGAACCAGAAGTTGCAGACATCATTTGTATCAGTGGCGTTGATATATTACCTCTTCTCGCTGGTAAGTCTTAATCCATTACATGATTTTCATTACTCGGATAGGTTCTTATCTTGAAATGAACAGAACGAAGTGGTTGTTGGAAGCTATGGATGGCCTTGGAACTGGAGTCTTTAGTAGCAGTCGAAATTATTTCCATCAAAGATCATGAGAAACCACGCCATGTTACCCTTCGAGACATATTGAGTCAATTCTGTGTCTATAAGATGCATGGCGCTCCACTACCACCATCATCACATTCTTTCGAAGGCTCCGATAGCACGAATGATTATGACGATCCAGAGATATCATCAGCTGAGGTCTTTGATATGCCACATCATGATTTCGATGGAATTTGGGAGGAGCAAGTCCTAGAATACTGTCTATCAAATGACACTCTCGATTAACACTAAATAGGCTCATATTTGACCAAAATCACAAGGAAGATCTTTCGTGGATGATATCGAACATGCGTATGTACAGTTATCTAGGGTTTTCAGTTCCGATGAATTTTGATTGACTTGTGGATAGTCAATTTCTGTGCGGGAGCCGGGCCCGTAAAGAAGAGAATGAGTCCCATGGCTCTGTTTCATGGTATGTAATCAGAGTCCTTCGCATTCACAATAATCAGAGTAAGGTCTAATGTTCTTGGGGCTACCAATGGCCAACATCGCCATTTGGGCAATGTGGTTATGTGCCTCATCAATATAGGTCCTCCAGGAACCGGAAAGACAACTTTATGCCAAGCAATTGCACAACGAATAGCCATTCGATTGGTGGAGACATTTCCACACACGAAACTCATTCAAGTTAAAACGGCGACGCTCCTGTCCAAGTACTACAGCGAAAGTGCGACCCAAGTCGATGATTTGCTCACCAAAGTCAAAGAAATGTGTCAAAACGAACCAAGACGTATCATCATTGTATTGATTGATGAGGTCGAATCTATTGCCGTATCCAGACACTCGGGTATCATTCATGGAGAAGCTCAGGACTCACTGCGAGCTACCAATGCTCTACTCACTGGTTTTGATAGGGTCAGATCTTGTCCAAATGTCTTATTCCTGTCGACTTCAAACATGATCGATTGCCTTGACGAAGCATTCGTCGATAGATGCGCTATTCAGATTCCGTTTCAGCCACCCTCCGAAGAAGCTCAATACAAGATCTTGAAGGCAAGTGTGCTAGAGCTTGTGAGGAGACGTATCATCGTAGCCGATGTATCGGAACTCATAGATCACACGCAATTGTTACAATCCTGGCAAGAGGCCACGCTCTATTCAGACGTTCAGACCGATTCTCCTACGGGCAAGTTGCTCAACATCATCAGACAATTGAACTCTACAACGGCGAAGGGGAAACTCGGTGTATCTGGCCGATTTTTGACGCAGGTACCGGAACAAGCCCTGATGAAGTGTGCCAGACCAAATAAAACGTTTACGCTGGATGTCGCTTTGGACTGCATTAAAATTTTTGTTAAGGATCTCTTGAGTGCACGAGGTCAGAAACGAAAGTCGGAAGTAGAAGCAGAACCAGACGCAAAGCACCATTGTTGCTGTTGTGCGAAAAAAAGGATGAGAGATTTCTAACGAGGCGATTTATAACGAGGCGAACTTTGAGAGATTCGAATAACAACCGAGGATGGCTAACTTCTAAGATGAAAAGGGGGCACTTGCACGTTTATTGTGGCTTACGGGTGTTGTTACATTGCACATTCATGATTATGAAGAGAGAGAGAACATCCTTCAAATATTCACTGTTCAATAAATACATAAAATCAATGTCGCAACTGCGCTGCAAGTCACAGATGCTATGCACCAGACCCGTGATGCTGACTTACAACAACTAACAAGCGTTTGAAATTCGAGTCAGATGATTGGATTGGATAGATAAAGTAAAGATCGATAATCTCATTACTATGATTACTATGATTGTCAACATCATCACCACCATCGCCGTGTGACTTCACTTCACTTAAAGTAAGGTAAGGTAAGGTTGTCGAGAAACAAACGGAAAGGTGAAGTTGTGTTGTGAGACCCCCCTCCCCCCGCCCCCCCCTTTTCTCATGTGTTTAACACAAACACTGCCTAACTGCCTAACTGCCTAACTACTCGAGTAGCTAGCTTTTCATCCTTCTTCGCCTTCTCAAGTTTTAGCCGCTCCGATAGGAGAAGCGGACACCGGCTAAATGGCGAATAGATAGATCTTTGTGCATGCATGCTCAAACTCGATGGTGTGCTTCTGCTTCTGATAAGATAAGCGCTTTGATTTGGATTGGGGATTAAGGGTCCATGAGAAATTAGAATTGATGATCTCTAATTGCAAGGTTACTTCGACATCGCATCTATATCCATATCCCATATCCACATGCCCATCCATATCCGAAGAATAGAATCGAGATCCTGTGGTTCAACCTTCTACCTTGGCTTTGTGGCCATGTATGTGGTGTGTGTTACAGATGGGTCTCGTCTCGACGGGTATGTATGTATATATATATACATCGAATAAATAAAATACTATATCGAATCCTTGAAACGAATCCTGAAAGCTGGAGAATGTTTTCTTTTCGATATAGTTGTTTGGATTATTTTATTTTCGTAGGGGGCATTGTATCAAATTAACTCCAAAGGAATAAGAATAAGAATAAGAATAGATTGTCTTTATACAGTGATATACTTACTTACTGAGTATGCAAACGCCACATAAGTTATACTGTAACGTATTCTTATCATGTCTAGAGAGTTTGAATCCTAAATCCTACCTACTCTTATCAATGTACAAGTATTTGCAAATCCATTATACTGGTATTTGCTACTTGTACCAAAGATTGCTACCAAAAAAAAAGCCATTTTTGATGCCTAATAGCAATACTGTCTGTATCTTACCTAAAACTTGGAGTTTAGAGAGTTGAATCTTACTTAACTCTTGCTGGGCGATATTGGGCGATTGATTGACTCATCTACTGTGTTATGTTGGAACACTGAATTGTATACCGGTATGTATACTCGAGTATTTGATATCAAGATTGAGAGGGGTGTGGTGTGTGTGCAAGGTGGGTGTGTAAGGAGAAAGTTTGTTTGTTTGTTTGTTCGTGATTCGAGAACTAATCATTTGGCAATGGGATGAGATGAGATGAGGGGAATGGGTACTGGGGTATTGGGTATTGGCTACGCACGATAGCACTGATAGCGATGATCAAATATCTAGGAGGAGGTTTGCAAGCGGCCCGGTTGATTTGTGCTGAATGGTTAGATGTGATGGCTTTTTTTGTGCCCAACTTTATTTCATTTTTTATTTTATTTTTAGAGATGACCGAGTGATATGGATATAGATATAGATATGGATAAAAGCTCCTTCCCCATATTCTAAAAAAGGCAATAATGCAATGGTGGTTAGATGATGCAATGCAATCTACCGGATAGTACTCTCGTTTCGTACAACCAACCCTACCTACGAAAGGACAAGGAGGTGAAAGGTAAATGAACGAATTGATCGGGAAAACCCGGCTTATGTGGTATGTTGTATGTGTATGTGTGTGTGTGTATGCATGGTTTGCGAGAGTGGGAATGGGGATGGGGATGGGTGATTGATGGTTTGATTTTGGACTGGAGGGATTATTGATTGTTCTATATTGAGCCATTTTTGGGAAGATTTTAACCTTTAACCTTTGTGTGGGGTGTGGTGTGTGGTTGTGTGGTTGTATGGTTGGAAATATGAAAGCACGCGTTTGCAAGGACGTTGGTGAGTGGTTGAGGAAAGATTGATGTGCGTTTTATTTTATAGAGTAGTGAAGTGAAGTGAACCAGAAATATCGAGGTCCAGGGGTGGTGTACTTGTTGAAGCTGTGGCTGAAGAATACCTAGGTAGTTCCATCACTTGTTCTAGGTTTGTTTCGCCAGAACGCCAAGTTCTTTTTTTGATGTGGAGCCTAGCCCTGCCTTGTTCCTGCCTTGGAAATAGAATGTTTTGTGAAGGGTCAAGAAATACCGGTAATATAATATAATATAATATATTCGATAGACAGACCTAGAGCTACTCGGTAAGAATATAGATAATGTTGATACTGTTATTTATGTCTCTTTGGAAATAAAACATTGCAGTACTATATCATATCATACCATCCATTCACATCAAAGTAACATGGGAAGAACTCGGTATGATAAATATAATACTCGAGTAGACGTGATGCCATTCATCCCATTCATCCCAATTAGCCAGATTAATGAGATAGATGAGATGAGTTTGAGTGTCATATATCATACCAGTACTTAACACGAGTTCGAAACAGTGGTTGAGAAGAGAAGAGAAGAGATGAGATGGTTGCAAGTTGCTGAGATCTGGAGTTTGTCTTAATTCCTTTGTTCTAGTTCTAGTGCTACTGCTAGTACCCGACCCGACCCTTTAGCTGTTGTAGCTAGGTAAGCTAATGAAGTACTGTATGTAGTACGAAAGCTAGATGTAGATGGCATTATTTGTAGTAGTGAGGTCTTCTTTAGTGGAAAGTGGAAAGTCTAAAATTATGTTTCTTTTGGCTCAGAGAGGTTTAGACCATATACTACTTTCAGCAGTGAACAATGAGGTTGTATAATTCTTGCGAGGGAGTATGCATCATCTTTACTACTTCCCATCCTAGTAAATTCACACACCCAGTAACCTCACTGTCTCCCCTACTTATGCGGCGGGATAATGGATTCACCTTGCATATCAATCCATGTCATTTACCAAATTTCTTGTTGCCCTGACGTAAATTCATGGATAAAATGGTCCGGATATGAGATAATTGTTTTGAATGAGGGAATTGATAATAAATAAATTTATAAAATAAACTTGGTAAAAGAAGTTATTCAATAGCAATCAATATTGATCGAATATACCAGTAAATCGAATATTACAAAGTGACATTTAAAGCTTTAAACTTATACAACTATCTCAAGCAACTTTCCATACTATACGGAGTAAGTTACCGGTATTGATGTAACAAAACAACAACCACCAAGCACAACTCCAAGTCAACGTCATTCATGCTACACACCTCATTATTTTAGAACAAGCTTGGAAGCTTTTACAACTTTACAACCCAGCCCGCATTTCCCCAACTAAACCCTTTGAACAAAGCGTATTTCTACTGGTCCGCCAATATCCCTTCCCTTGTCCTCAAACCAAACTCCCTGTTCGATAACTACGTATCGGGAAATATTTGAACGAACCTGGCAAAAGCAAAACTTCAAATACAGTGCGACTTCCTCCAAGCTTTTACTTTCTCAACCAAACAATATTGATCTGATTCTTGTCTTGTCATACATACATACCAAACCGATATCACATCTATCCTCATCCCATCTCAACTTACGAAGGATCAATACTATTACTCTAAGCTCGGAACATTATTTAGTCGAACATAATTGCCCCGCTATCTACTGCCCCTCATTTCAAAGGTGCTTTCAGATAAAGAATTACGAGTACTTGCATCGCACATAAGCACGAAGCTCATGATTGCGCGATTACCCATTTGCAAGACAAAATACACGGAATTTCATTCGGCCCCTCCTTTCGTGGAAGTTTCTCAAGAATATTCATCATGACGGTCTTTGTGGTCTCCCTGTGAGTATTTCCCATAGAATATTTGGGTGCCAGACATATCTTCCTATTGTCTCCTTCGACCGTCGATTATACAACCCAACAATATACTATTATGCAGCTTCAATCATATCTTCAAAGCTCTGCAGATTATATTTGCCTTGATAAACAGGCTTAGGGCAAGGAGGTTCCAAAGATTAGTCTTGTTGTAATCTGTTGCTAGCATCTTTCTTCGGAACAAACACTGACGAACCTATTTTCCACTCAGATTTCTTCCAAACACAATTAACTTCAAACTCCCTTCCACCACTTCACGCCCTCCTACCAGATCTAGTCTCCACCCAGATGCCAAACCCGACGCTCCCCGCTCTGGACGTCCAGGTGCCTCTAGAAGATATACCACCAGAATCGATACTACCAGCAAGCCTAGTCTTTTTGCGCAACATAAGGATATCACACCCCCAGCAACACCAATACACGATGCCGACCATGAACGATTCTTTGCGCAGACTGAAATACCGGACACAAAAGCCTCCGTCCTAATACAAGAAAGCCAAGCATCCACAATTGCACTTAGTGATCCTCATTCGCCGGCATGGGGTGCGGGAAAGACGTTCAACCAACCGCGATCCCGAGCCAGTTCTCCCCCTCCTGCCGATATCCTCAAGCATAATAAGATGAAGGAGAAGGCAGAGCTTCTTGGAAGTGCTGGAATACGCCAACCACAATATAAACGAAGTGACAGCCATGATCGAGTATTCGCAAACGCCGAATGGGTAGTCGAGCCAGCGGAGCAAGGCAATGGAGGTCTCAGAAATGCTGTACAAGCTTCAGTGAGAAGTGGAAACCTTGAGGATAAGATCTGGGTCGGTACATTAGGAATGCCCACGGACGCTCTCGAAGGCACTCGACAAAGGCAGGATATTCAAGATCGTTTGGCTACAGAGTTCGATTCCTTAACTATTTTCTGCAAGGATAGCGATTTTGATGGCCATTACACGCACTACTGCAAGCAAATCTTGTGGCCCGTTTTCCACTACCAAATCCCAGATAATCCTAAAAGCAAGGCTTATGAGGACCACTCTTGGGTTTACTATGTCAAGGTAAATCAAGCCTTTGCAGATAAGATCATCAGAGAATGGAAGAGAGGCGATGTTATCTGGATCCATGACTACCATCTTCTATTGGTACCTTCAATGATCCGTAAGAAGCTTCCAGATGCGAAGATTGGATTCTTTCTTCACGTCGCGTTTCCATCTTCGGAAGTATTTCGATGCTTGGCGGTTCGTAAGGAGTTGCTTGAGGGCATGTTGGGAGCAAATCTCATTGGATTCCAGATTCAAGAGTATGCACGCCATTTCTTGCAAACTTGCAGCCGTATCCTAATGGTTGAAGCCACAAATGATGGTATTCAACTTGAGGATCGATTCATCGATGTTATCAATCTTGCAATTGGAATTGATCCTGTTGCTCTGGATATAAATCGCGCGGACCCTAAAGCTACACATTGGTTGAACACAATGCAAGAAAGATATCGTGGTAAGAAGCTCATTGTGGCACGCGACAAGTTAGATCATGTACGAGGTGTACGACCTAAACTTTTGGTAAGTTTTTATTTTAATCTATTTTGGACTTCTAGGTGCTTCTTCTTGATGCAGATGTATCAATGATACCCCTCCCCCCTGACAGTTGCTAACTCCATTTCGCAGGCATATGAGCTGTTTCTAAATAAATATCCCGAATGGCGAGACAAAGTTGTTCTTATTCAAGTAGCAACCTCTACTACAGAGAATGCTGAACTCGACGCGACCGTTTCAGACATTGTTACTCGAATCAACTCTTCATGGGCCAATCTTGCTTACCAACCCGTCGTGTACCTGAAGCAAGATATTATCTATCCTCAGTATTTGGCTCTACTCACAGTCGCAGATGCTCTGATGATTGCTAGCCAGCGTGAAGGGATGAACTTGACATGTCATGAGTATTTGTTTTGCCAAGATGGCAAGTTCGAAGGTCACAACAAGCATGGCTCCCTTATCCTTAGTGAGTTTACTGGTAGTTCTTCCATCTTTGGCGGGAATGAGCTTTCTGTAAATCCTTGGGATTATCGTCAATGCGCCGATGCAATCAAACAAGCTTTGGAGATGGAGGATGAAGAAAAAGAAGAACGATTCAAGAAGCTTCATGCAGCTGTCATGCACCATACCGGAGAGCATTGGTTTAACGAATTTCTCCACCGCCTTGACAAAGCCTACGATGAGCAGCATAAGAGAGATACCACATCCGTTCCTCGTCTCTCAATTAACATGCTTGGTCAGAAGTATCAGAAATCGGAGCGCAGGCTTTTCATTATCGATTATGAAGGAACTTTAGCATCATGGGGCTCTCCGAGCAGCATTATCTTAACAAGCCCGCAAGTAAGTAATACTACATCACTCGGTGTTGGGCAAAGGCTAATAGTATACAGCGTACAATTGATACTCTCAATGACATTCTGCAAGACGAAAGAAATACAGTATACGTAATGTCGAGTAGACAACCAGAAGAACTCGACCGTTTGTTTAAACGAGTCCCACGTCTTGGTCTCATTGCTGAGAATGGATGCTTTCTCAAGCAATTTGGAACTTCAGAATGGACCGAGATGGCCGACCCTGAAAAGATGCGAGCTTGGAAGGATTCGGTAGAAGGTATCATGACTTACTATACTGAACGAACACCAGGATCCTGGATTGAAACAAGACATTGTAGCTTGATCTTCCATTACAAGAATGCCGAAGATTTCGAAACTGCAACTCGACAAGCAGGTGACTGTGCAAGTCATATCAACGATGCGTGCGAGGAACAAAGAGTGAGAGCTATTCCTCTTGAAGGTATGGCTTTTTCGTCTAATGTTGCGAACTTCTTATTAACATTTATTCTAGGAGCTGTAGCAGTAGAACCAATCGATTGGTCAAAAGGCACAGCTGCCATGAAAATCTTCGAAGGTCTTGCGAAAGATATGGCACCAAACGATGAACATACTTCCCCAGTCGATTTCTTGTTGGTGATAGGTGATGGTAGAGATGACGAAGTTATCTTCCGATGGGCCAATGATTTAGGTGCAGCAAAGAAGGTTGACAGTGTTACTACTGTTAGTTTGGGTAGTAGGAATACTGAGGCTGGGTATACACTTACACAAGGTGTTACTGGTATGTTTTACGAAGATTGTTCATTCATGAATATTAATAGCTAATGTTGGTATAGGTGTCTTGACCGCACTTCAAAAACTTGCTCAATTACCTTGAGAATGAGAATGATCTACTACAGATACATTCTTATGAATGAGAATCAGAGCTAGAGCCAGAAGGTTCAGTTATTGGTGGGAAGATACCGGTATACATTGAGACGATGATATAATATAGATGATTTTATGAATGTTTTTTTTATGAATATTTTTTCCCAGGGGCATACACAGCGAAGGCGTTTTTTGTATGGATGGTATGGATGGATGGATGGATGGATGGTATGGATGGAATGGATGGAATGGATGGAGGGGAGGAATAGAAAAGAAGCACACGTCAAATGGATTAATCAATGATACACATGATATGATACATATGATGCGATATGATACAATACTTGCTCTGCTTTGCTCTGCCTTTTTTTTTTTTTGGTTTTTCTTTTAGATATCCCAAATCATAGAGACTTGAACATAATATATATAACCTTGGCTTTTCTGGTGTGAGAGTGTGAGAGTGTTGATGTTGTTGATATTGTTGATATTGTTGATATTGTATGCTAGGTATGCTAGGTATGCGAGGTATGCTAGTATGCTTGGCACGGTAGGCATGGTAGGCACGGGGGTTGTTGTTTGTTGTTTATAGTTTTTATAGTTCTAGGAGTAGGAGTATTCTGATTCTTACTTAGTTTGATTCTTACTCGAGTACTCTGGATATAGTTCTGGTTATAGTTTTGGTTATAGTTCTGGTTATAGATTTGAATTTAGATTTGGTATTTGGATTTGGAAAATTCATATGGATAGGGTCACGGTAGGTAGAGTTGAGTTGAGTAGAGTTGGGTAGAGTTGAGTTGTGTATATGAACTACTTACTACTTATTACTGTATAGTCTGTACAAGTCTGTACTTATATATAAAAAGTGAGGATACAAAAATGAATTGGGTGGGTATACAAAATGAATTTGGTTGTACAAAAATGAGTTTGGTAGAAAAAATAACAGCAGCGGAATTTTTCTTATTGTATTTATTGTACTATACTGACTGTACTCGAGTACTGTAGATTAGATGGATGATTAGATAGATAGACGGATGAATGGATATATCAGTAACCTCCCACCTCACACCTTAATTACCACTTACTCCATTCCATGATTTTAAAGATTTGAAATTTGGAAATTTGAAGATTGGAGTTTTGGAGTTTTGGGGTTTAGGTTAGTTTTGATTTTTGATATTTTGATATTTAATTTATTACTCTAGGGAGTGAGTGAGTGAGTGAGTGATACTGTATGGTGAAAGTAGGTATGGTGGAAGTTATGTATGGTGAAAGTATGGAGAAATTATGGAGAAATTATCGAAACCAATTAGAAATGGGTTTGCAAGTTTGTCTTTCTTTCTATGGATTGTATGAACTGCCTCGTAGTATGATTGCTAGTCATATACCATACCACGGCATCGCCATCGCCATCTCGATTCTTTGGCGACTAATGTAATGTACCAGTAGGTAATGCCCGAGAGTCATTTTCGATATGCTACGGTATGTTATCTATGGTGATTTATTCAGTCCCATTTGTCTCAGCAGTAGTAAAATCCTTGGCATCAAGTTTCTCCACAATCTTATTCCAACCAAAAGTATCCTTAATTTTTCCAGCTTGGATTCCCTTGAGGGTAGTGAGTAATTTGATGCAGATGGCGCCTGGTTCTTCTGACGATGCGGGAATGTATTCGGTGGTTTTGGAGTCCGAGGTGCGGGTTATGGAGCGGATGGGGACGAGGGCGGCGGCGGTACCGGCGGCCATTACTTCGGTGAAGATGGGGAGTTCCGAGTATTGGATCTATGAGGGGTGGGGGTTAGTGTGGGTTGTATGAGAGGTGGATGGGTAGAAAGGGGTGTAAAGGGGGTGGAAAGGTGGTTTGGGATGGGGAAAAGGGGTGAGATAACTAACCGAGCGAACTTCTGTTTTCCAACCAAAACTCTTTCCAATTTCCAAAATACTATCTGATGTTACACTCGCAATAACATTCTTACTGTCCGGAACCACTAATGTAACATTGTCTCCATCTGTCTTTACACCAATAAATCCACTGGTTGAAAACTCATCGATTTCGGTGCGCGTTTGACTATCCAAATGTAATGTGATACCATAACCCTCATTCCTCGCTTTATCACTCCATCTCAAAACCGGCGCATAATTTCCACCCACTTTTGCGCTTCCCGTTCCATGCGGAGCAGAACGATCGAATTCTTCCAGAATCAAGGCCTTGACTGGATGTACACCATGGTAGACACCTACTGGGAGGACATAGACACAGAAAGTATATTCCTCAGGAGGACTCAAACCCAACTGAGCACTCGAACCGAAAATCAAAGGACGGATATACATGGCGGCGCCGCTGTCATGAGGCGGTACGTATTCGGCATTGAGGGATACGGCTGCATGTACACAGTCCATGAATATATTCTCGGGGACAGGAGGGATCGAGATGAATGCTGCGGAATGAGCGAGACGAGCAGCGTTTTTGGTGGGGCGGAATATGGTGATGGAGGTATCGCCGGGGGTGCGGAAGGCTTTCATGCCTTCGTAGGCTTGTTGGCCGTAGTTTAGGGCGGGGGACATGCCGTGGAGGCGGAGGTAGGGGTCGGTGATGAATTTTGGAGGGGTCCATTGGTTGGTTTTGAGAGAGTAGTGGGATTCGATGTGGCCATTTACTAGAGGAAATTAGCTTCGATTGTATGGATTGATTTGTAGCGTTAGAGTGAGTAGCAGGCAAATAGATAATGAGAATTTAATCATACCTTCACGGAATTTGAAGCCAATGTCACTCCAATCGATTGTGTTAACGGGGGTGGGGGAAACGCCATATTGAAGATTTAAGGTGTTGTAGAAACGAGGTACTTAGGAAATCTACAAGAGTTTAAAGATTTAAAGTAACACAAAACAAATATGTATTTGAAGAGTGTAGGATTTAAGAAAGTTAATATGTATTTGAATGTAAACACAGTCAGCCAGTTCCAGGTTCTAGCTTTGAAATATTTGTTCTTTTCCGAACTCCGGAGAACGTGGGGCAGGATGATGTGTACCTGACCCCAAATAAATAACCTTATGTTTTATGGGCCAATTAGATGGCGCTTCTAGATGTATATAAAAAGTTTATTATATCATGTTATTTACGTTAATTTATTAAAATATCCGGATTTGTTTCTTTACCTTCTTTTCACTCATTTGAACATTTGATTTTCTATCTGATCTACGCGTTACTCTACTTCTTTCATTTCTTCTTTGTCGCTGGCTGACATTTCAAACAACGCTACGAACTAAATTCTGTCATAAGAACATTCGGAGCCGAAGTTCAATCGCAAAGTCCCCTAGTCCCCTCCCTTCCTTCTGTAACTAGCACAGTCAGCCGACCATATCATATTCATTGTCACGAATCGCATACCTGTCTGAACACAATACAGCATGGCTCGGAAACCTCATTTTACTATTGCCGGGATAGCTGTTGCGACTTTCTTATGCATATTCTTTGTACTTACATTTCGCAATCATAATCATGGAACGAGAGCTATAGATTATGACGCCGAGAACGAATATAATGCCGAATTCCCTTTGGATAAGACGCCAATTCTCGTCGATGATAATGTTCTCCATGGAGCAGCGACTGCTCCTAAGCTCGAAAATGCTACTCTGAAGTATGTTCCTCTCATCTGCGAAATATCGTTGGAATTAGTTCCCTTTGTACCCTACTAACAGTCTATCCCAGAGCAGAACTCGGCCACGCAGCCTGGAAAGTCCTCCACACCATGATGGCGAAATTCCCGGACACGCCCACGGAAGAAGATAGCTCTGCCCTAAAATCCTACATGCATCTCTTTGCGCGGCTCTATCCATGTGGCGACTGCGCGCGGCATTTCCAATCGCTGTTGAAGAAGTATCCGCCGCAGGTAGCGACGCGGAGTACGGCGGCGGCGTGGGCTTGTCATGTGCATAATGAGGTTAATAAGAGGTTGAAGAAGGAATTGTTTGATTGTAGTAAGATTGGGGATTTTTATGATTGTGGGTGTGCGGAGGATGGGGAGGAGGGGAAGACTGGGGAGGGAAAGATGGATGTTGGGAAGGGGGATGGAGATGCGGGAGGCTTTACGCCGTTGGAGTTGGATAAGGAAGGGTAGGTTTTTGATGGAGGTAGAGTGTTTGATTTGGGGAATAATGCTAATAGCGTGGCTGTAGTTTGACTAGAGGAGGTTAGGTATTGAGCAGGCCAAGTTTATCTGGATCCAATGCGACAGAAGGGGGAAATCCGGCGCAGTCTACATATGTGCTATCCAGGCCGTGTACAATTAGGAGTTGAGGTCAGGTAACTTATTGAAGCATGGCGTTGTGTATAGTTTGGAGTATTGGGGTTATCATATGGATTGGAATGGACAGAGGATATCCAATGCAGTTACTCAGGGTATCCGTTTGTATAAATTGTCAATAGTAATTAGGTGTAGATATTCAATTCCCAAAACTTGGGAAGCTTTTATTTACATATTAGCAATCTTGTAGAGAAAGGTTGTTGGGGAATCCAAAGATTCTCAAGATCAAAATTAAGCTTCTGTTAAAAGTTCGGACCTCAACCTAGACGTCGAGCGAGTGTCGAGGGATCTTCGACCTGGCCTTTCCCATGGGCCTAAAAAAGCTCACCGGGAGTGGCTTAAGAATAGCCGCCAAGCTCAAATCGCTATCACCACGTGATCTGCCTCACCTCCGCGCTTGCTTGCCTTGCCTCGCGTCTAAGGTCTGCCTGTTCGAGAGCTCCAAATCGGCAGCTCATCTTCTATTTTCCAACGAACGTAACGATTAACGATTCAGATTTGTTTCTCTACATATCACAGTCTTTGCAAGATAAATACATAAGCTTTCATCATGGAGTTTGGCAACACAGGAATGTTGAATGAAGGTACCGGTTGTCCAACTCAGCTGTCAGTAAAGTTGGAAGCTAACATGAGCTTCTTGAAGATGGTATCCATGTTGATATGGATCGTTTGAAGAAGGGAGAAGTCAAGTAAGATAATCTTGCCCTCTATTTTAAGCTTTACTAACACGATATAATAGCTTAGGAACTTCCATGTAAGAAACCTTGAGACCACGATGATAACAATATTCGACCAAGAGCAGCGCTGATTTTCATTGCAGTATGGCTATAAACTTCAAGGATGGTGTCATTCTGGGTTAGTTCTTTTGATATACACAATCTGCGGGGCCGTACACTTACTGATGGATGAATCGGACAGGTGCGGATAGTAGAACAACCACCGGCGCATATATCGCAAATCGAGTTACGGACAAGCTTACTCAAGTTCATGATACGATTTGGTGTTGTCGATCAGGTTCTGCGGCTGATACTCAAGCTGTTGCGGATATTGTTCATTACCAGTTGGGAATGTATGGAGTTTTGAATGGCAGAACACCAACTACACAAACGGCTGCCGCCATGTTCCAAGAACTCTGCTACGATAACAAGGATAAATTGAGGTATGAATGACGTTTAACTGCGGTCTTCCCTTTCTAATTCGGATTTAGCGCCGGTTTGATTATTGCTGGTTGGGATGAACGACACGGAGGTCAAGTTTACTCGATACCATTAGGAGGATCATTACACAAGCAATCTTATGCTATTGGAGGATCTGGTTCGACATACATCTACGGATACTGTGACTCAAACTGGAAGGAGGGTATGGAAGAGGCTGATGCTGTTGATTTTGTCAAAGGCGCATTGCGGGAGGCTATTAAGTGGGATGGGAGTTCCGGAGGTGTCATCAGAATGGTGGTTTTGACGGCCAAGGGGGCGAACAGGCATCTATACCTGCCAGACACGGATTATGCTGTTCGTCATCAATAGATGATGGACGAAATGTACGAATAGAACTCGACAATAATACCACGGAGTTTACGCAATCGATAACTTGCAGGGTTTCATGGCGGTCAATGAGAGAAAGTTGCATTTTGTTCTAAGCGGTGAGATTAAGAATAGGAATATTCTCATGTGTGGCTCGTTCCAAATTCAATTGTGTCACATTCTTCTAGAAGTGTGATTTGATACTTTTGAGTGTTACAACACATGTGTGATTGTTATACAGGACAATCTAAACGAAGAAGATTCGATAGGTTTTCCCTTTATGCTTCTAGTGATATAAAATTAAAAGGTGCCTCTGGTGCCTCTGTGTCAACCCGTGAAAGTAAGTATCTGGCATTACCTATGGTTACTTCTTGGTCTACTTTGGTGGGAGTACAAGGCGTCAATTCCTTTTGATTCAAGTGCGAAGTCGGTATAGTAAGTAGTTCGTAGATGGAAGGTCTAAAGTCCTATCTGTATTAGAAATGTATGAATGACTAGATCTGATGGACTTTACTTTCCCATTCAGTGATTCATTTTAGCCATTAACCTGTTTGATAATTCATTTAATTCAATCGCATCATCATTCATTCTTTCTTTTTCTTTCTTTTTTTTCTCTTTCCTTTCCTTTTCTAATTTTATCTTACTTCTTTAAATTTTGCAGAATTGCTTCATTTTATTCATTTATTACAAGTATTTTATTCATTGGTCTTCCTTTCTTCATTTGAGTTGAGGTGGAACTTACAAAATTCAGGGTTCTTAGACTTTTCGTCATAGCTATTAATTGCGCCAATCGATAATGAACCAATTGTACCACACCTAATAATATAACAGACACTAACAAACACATTTAACATACTTAATACACCTCATTCACTTCTTATTTCTAATTCTCTCTCGGTTCATTTGTTCATTTACATCACGTCCCCCCATCTCCATCTCCATCCCCCATCAACAAAAAACATAACAAATCCAATTCAACAAACTTCCCATTACAATATCAACAAATTGCTGAAGATAATTGTATTTTCAATAATCATTGCATTATCGAGGATACTTGATACATTAATTTTCGAATTTTCAAATCTAGGAATGCTGCAGGTAAGCTTCTACTCTTCGATCTGTACCTACTTTGTGTATACCAAAGTATATTTGGATATCTTGTTACCCCCCACGAGAGTGATTTGTAAATGGCGCGCCATCACTTTTTAAATCAAAGATCTGCCAAATACGAACTTGTTGTCGCAATTCATATTGGACTCTGATACAGGAAGTTTTTGCCAGGATATTATTGTTTGCAGTTATTAATAAGTTGAGAGGAAGGATTGTTAACAGAGCCTCCAAAGCCCGATCGATAGGCAAAGTACCACCTTCACGATAAGAGTTTTGGGACCTCTTGACCTATCCTTCACTAACAGCAAGGACTTTGTTGGTGCCCATGTTTCGCAAAGCTCATCTGCCATTATTCTATTCTCTCTTGTTGTCCATATTGTCGCAGTCATCACAAATTTTGGAGACAAAAAGCTAATGGTGATGATCGATCAGGTTCTCACGACTGTCAAACTCACTTGATATGGCTGCGGTGATTGATTTTGTGTCAGATTCAACGCGCTTTTACCCCCATACAATGGTAACCGGTGTCGGGCATCATGGATCTCCGGAGGATTCACCATATCGACAACCTTCCAGATCGAGAGTCGAACCTCCCACTCTCCCCAGTTCACAACCCCACCCCACATCAGTAGATGATGGTACCCCTCCTTCTAGCACAAACACACAAGCCAAATATGCCGACTCTCAGGATCTAGATCAACACATAATGTCGGGACCCATTTCTCCTCCCTCGAGTTCCAGTCCAACTATAGATTCCTATGCCAAAGAACCCTTTAAAAGTCAACAAAACTTCCCCCCATCTTCAGCGCCTTATGCACGAATCGAGCATTCGCATACAATGAGCACCGATTCCACCCTCAAACCTTCTCGAACTACATCTGTGCAGTCGGAAAGGAGTATTCCAAGGTCAACAAGGTCTCTTGATGATGTACAGAAATATGGCGGTAACACGATCAAAGTTCGAGATTTGGCACACATTGAGAGTTTCGCCAGCGAAGAATTCCTTTCATTTAGAGGTCAATCTGGACGTCCACGTACAGAAGATGATCCCACACTGAAATACGAGATCAGTGGGATGCCCATTACAGATATTATTGAAATGGTAGCGGGACTTTTGACCAAAATCACCACGACGAACGATCGCCAACATGAAACCTTGCAAAGATGCTTTCCATCTGCCGAGCAAACAGCTAATCTTTCCGGACTCACCACGAGCGTACTCGCATTCCACGGAAAAAATGTGCCTAGCATTACAATTTTGAGTTACTTGACTCGAATACACAAGTACTGCCCAACGACTTACGAGGTATTCTTGAGCTTATTGGTGTACTTTGATCGAATGACGGAGAGAGTCAATGCACCTAATTTAAATGAGTTGCGACAAGACTCTATAGTAGATCAGGACAGTTCTCGACCTTCGTCCAGCTACTCTGCAGAGGGTTCAGATTTGGCAGACACTCCACCAGGAGCTAGAAGCGTTCCCGAACTCCAATCAGAACTCGACAGTGCTCAGTACACCCATGCATCGGGTCTTGACCTTTCATTGGCCCAGTTCCCTCTCTCATACTTCTTTGTAGTTGACAGCTTCAATATTCACCGTTTGGTTATCGCTGGCGTTACTTGTGCAAGCAAATTCTTCTCCGATGTATTCTATACGAATTCTCGATATGCCAAGGTAATTTTTACAAGACATCACCTCTTTTCTGACACTGACATTTGTTTAGGTTGGTGGACTGCCGTTGAATGAATTGAATCATTTGGAACTTCAATTCTTGCTACTCAACGACTTTCGCTTATCCATCCCTGTGGAGGAATTGGAAGCCTATGGCACAATGCTTGTGGAGTTCTATGCTCGGGAGGTTCTTGCACAAAAACAAGGAGATGGTGTGTCGGAAATGGCATGCACATCCGAGGAATGTTGAAATCTCAATGATTCTCACGTTTTCGAATGTAAGAAAGAAATCATGAAATATTTCTCCTATGTTGTTGATGGTCTGCGGCTAGGCAGATGTTCATTATTAGGATAAATGAACGATAACGGCGCTCGATGAGGATTTTGATGAGCTCAGCGATATAGACTTTCTCCCTCATTTTCATGTGAGGTTAGCGGCCTCTTCTTTCCCTTTCTATACCTTCGTATTTGAGATGGATACGGAGCGATCGATCATAAAAGATACCCCTCTTTTTCTTACTCTCTCTTAATATCACATCTCGGCTTGGTTCTCACCAGTAGCGAAACGTTATTTTTTTTTTTGATAGCCTCGTTTCTTTTTTTCACGGCGCATGTTCTCTGAGAGAGAATGGAGATGGAATGATGTTAGAATTTGCGTATTTTTCTTTTTGGGGATAACTAGTTATAACTTGGTGGGTGAATACAAACAAGTAGGAAGACAGGCACACATATGGTTGAGTAGCATTTCATTCATGCAAGCAATGCATTTGAGAGGTGTAGAAAGGACACAAGTGGATTGGATCAGTAGACCATGGCTGATTGGGGGGGTGATGGGGTGATGAATGTGGCTAGTTTTGGTGGGGAGGGGGGTGATGGGGTGATGAATGTGGCTAGTTTTGGTGGGGAGGGGGGTGATGAATGGATTATCCATGGATGGAGCTAAATACTCGAGCAGACAGAGGCTATGATATGACACATGACGAACAATAAATACGTTGGAGATGGATGGATGGATGGGATGGGGAAATGAACAATTATAGAGGTATGAATGAAGGGATGAAGGGATGGATGGATGGCGTTGTGAGGGAGTAATTGAGCGAGGCTACTGGCTGTTTTTGTTTTCTATGCTATGTTATTAGTCTTAGTCACCTTCCTTCTTCGTTTATTTTTGGGG